CACACTGTAGGGTTAGCAGAAAATGCCTCCCGCTGCCAGGACATCGTTGCATTCACCAGTAGGCTGCGAATGCTGCGGTAACGACCGATAACAGCAGTAGCAACTGTAAATGGCAGAAAGCAAAATGTTTCTAGTGTAGCAAGCAAGGGCATTTGCCTCGCAAGTGTCGTAACCCTAAGAGTGCCAGGAGACAAAACAACCAACTACGAGCAGTAGAGTTCCTGGACGAAGATGATGACAGCCTGACCACACAGATTTGGAATCTGGTAGCCCTAAAAGAAAGAAAGCTTGTGCCGCCAATGCGACGCACGTTCACGTGGGGTGGTATTGATCTGGTCATGGAAATTTACACGGGGTCACCTGTCTGCGTCATAACGAGAGAAATGTACGAAAGGCATCGCAAAACTTGGCCAAAACTTCAAAAGCCTCAAGTGAAGTTGGGTTGCTACATGGAATCAATTCTAGTTATCGGAGAGTTAACCATGCAAGTAATATACCAGGCGACGACCGTACAGGCTACATTGACCGTCGTAGATTGCCGAGGTCCGTGTTTGTACGGAAGAGACTTGATTCAGCAATTGAATCAACATGACGTTCATCTGTTGAGCCTGACAGCAATCCTGAAATCTTCCTGTGGCCAGCAGCAATGTCTCCAGAGTCTACTGTACGAGTACGAAGACCTCTTCTCTCCAAAGCTTGGACTCATTCAGGGACCACCTGCGCATCTGCACCTCAAGGATGGAGCAACTCCAAAGATTTGCAAGACAAGATCTATTCCTTTTGCTTTACGAGAGAAAGTATCCCTGGAGCTGGATAGGCTAGATCAGGCCGGCATTATTTCACCAGTTGCATACTCTGAATGGGCTACGCGCATTGTGCCGGTTCTAAACAAAGATGGGACCGTAGGTATTTGTGGAGATTTTAAGCTGATACTGATTCCTGTTTGTGCGTTAGAACAGTACCCGCTCCCGGTTATCGAGAACATGTTTGCTTGTCTGAATGGCGGCGACCGTTTCAGCACACTGGACTTCCGGGAGGCGTATAACCAAGTGCCTCTCGATGAGGAATCGCGGGAGCTTGCGGTTATCAACACACATCGTGGCCTCTTTTGCTATAACCGATTACTATTTGGAATAGCCTCAGCGGCACCCGCTATCTTTCAACGCAAGCTAGAATGTGTCCTCCAAGGTCTTCCAGATATGCAAGCCTACTTGGATGACGTCATACTTTCGGAACAAAGCTCTAACGATGGAACAAAACTGAAATGTCTTTTGCAGCGATTCCGAGAGCAGGGGGTGAAGTTGCGCAAGGACAAGTGCAGATTAAGGGAGGAATCGGTCACCTACCTTGCCCATCAGATTGACGGAGGGGGACTGCATTTAACAGAAAAGAACCTTGAGGCCATCGCCGGGGCTCCGTGTCCAAAAAACGTGAGTGAACTGCTCTCATTTATTTGCATGTTGACCTTCTACAGCAGATTTGTACCACAAATGTGCACACTGCTATCGCCGCTGTATCAACTTTTAGAGAAGGGTTGTCGTTGGGTGTGGGGCCCGGCACAGGACGAGGCATTAATCAAAGGAAAGAAAGCTTTAACAGCAAGAAACGTGTTGACACGTTTCGACGCAGCGAAAGAACTGCGCTTGGAAAGTGACTCATCACCGTACGGTGTTGGGGCCGTGTTGTTTCACCGTGTAGGAAAGGAGGGCAGGCCGATGGGTATCAGTTCACGTACCTAAACTGCTGCGGAAAAAAATTACTCCCAGTTGGAACGCGAGGCACTTGCTCTCATTTTTAGTGTGACTAAGTTCCCCGATTAATTTTTGGGCAGAAAGTTTAGCTTGGTCACCGACCACCAGCCACTCCTGGGATTGCTAAAGCCACGCCATAGCTACTGTAAGAATCCAGCGTTGAGCACTGATGCTTGGGGGATACCAGTACAAGCTGGACTGCCAGCCTGGTAAACTGACGTTCAACGCAGACGCGTTAAGCCGGTTACCGCTACCGACGTTAAGGAATCATGCAGCTCGATGGAGCTTCCGGAGTATGTCTTAGCACTGCATAATTTTGACGACGGGACCGTAATCACCGGAGAGCTGAAATACCTGGCTGCCGGCGACGACGTGCTTTTAAAAAGCCGCCTCGGTGGCTCCGAGGCGAGAGCGCTGGCCTACGGATCCCCATGTGGCGGGTTCGAATCCCGGCCGAGGTGCCCGCAATCTGACGGACGCTTTTTGCGGAGAAGGCGCCGTGTAACCGAGCTTTCGGTTGCACGTCAAAAGATCCCCAGGTGGTCCAAATTAATCCTCAGTCCTCCGCTGGGGCGTGCCAGATGCCCGTTGTTGGTTTGGCACGTAAAACCCTTAAATTTGACTTTTTTTTTTGACGTGCTTTTAAAAGTTAAAAGATACATTCTAGATGGATGGCCAACACGCGGAAAGCACCTATAATTCGAGTTACAACCATTCTATCACAAGAAGCTCGAGCTCTCAGTAGCACAGGACCTGGTGTACTGGGGTCACCGGGTCGTGATTCCAGCAAAGGCGAAGGAACGACTGCTAAGCCTGCTCCATGAAACCCATCAGGGAGCATCCTCAATAAAAACCGGTCGCACCGTCAAAGTTCTGGTGGCCTGGTCTCGACAAGGCAATTAAAAGCCAGGCGGCAGTTTGCATGGAATGTGTTCTAGCTATGCCTATGCCGAGTGCGAAAGAGCCAGTTAATTCGCCCGAGACCAGAGAGCCGCCTCGGTGGCTCCGAGGCAAGAGCCCTGTTCTACGGATCCCCTTGCGGCGGGTTCGAATCCCGGCCGAGGTGCCCGCAATCTGACGGAGGCTCATTGCGGAGGAGGCGCCGTGTAACCGAGCTTTCGGTTGCACGTCAAAAGATCCCCAGGTGGTCCAAATTAATCCTTAGTACTCCGCTGGGGCGCGCCAGATACCTGTCGTCGGTTTGGCACGTAATACCCCCAAATTCGGCCGAGACCAGAGAAAATTGCTCAAGAATACACAATGATTTTGCTGGGCCAATAAAGGAAAAAATGGTACTAATTGTTGTCGATTCACACAGCAAATGGATCGAAGCCGTACCATAGTCCCATGCGACCACTCATGCAATGAACGATAACAACGTTACGTATGTTGTTTAGTCGCTTCGGAATTCTACGAGTTCACAGGTCAGGAGTTTAAGACGTTTGTCAAGATGAACAATATTTCGCATTTTTGAACCACTCCCTTCCACCCGCAATCCAACGGTCTGGCAGAAAGAGCCGTGCGCAGTGTCAAAGACGGGATTAAGAAGATGCGAGGTGAGAACTTTGAAACTAACCTTGTTCGGATGTTGTTCAATTACAAAAGAACACCACAAGCCTCCGCAAGATCCCCGTCGGAAGTCCTGCTGGGCTATCAAATTCGCTCGAGGGTCGACACCTCCATTCCATGGGTTGCACGGGACGCTAGGAATGATGACCCCAGATGGAATTCCGCTCCTGGGGATCCTGTGTATTTTCGCAATTATGGGGATGGGGACAACTGGACGCCTGGTCAATCAAATCCACCTCTGGGTCGCGAATGCTGGCTGTCTCAACGCCATCAAATGTGGTACACCGCCACGCTGACCAAGTACGGAGAAGGATACCGGAAGAGGATCACCTGCTAGACCAGCAGGGGGGCTATGTTGCGCTTTTTGGACTCCCAGGAGACTAGGAAGAGGGAAGTGACGTCAACGACTAGAGCAAACGCAGATTGGATGTTGACAGAAGAAAACGAAATCAACACCCAATCTGCGTTTACTGTGTCGTTGACGTCACTTCCCTCTCCCTAGTCTCCTGGGAGTCCAAAAAGCGCAACATAGCACCCCTGGAGGGCTATGTTGCGCTTTTTGCACTCCCAGGATACTAGGGAGAGGGAAGTGACGTCAACGACACAGCAAGCGCAGATTGGGTGTTGATTTCGTTTTCTTCTGTCAACATCCAATCTGCGTTTGCTGTGTCGTTGACGTCACTTCCCTCTTCCAAGTCTCCTGGGAGTGCAAAAAGCGCAACATAGCACCCCTGGCCTGTACTCGGCCTCCGACAACATCATCACCTACGGCGATCACAAACAATGAAAGGCACCATACAGACGCCCCGACGGCGATTCCAGTGGAACTCCAGGAAGAAGCGACGTTGCGGCGTTCAAGCAGTACCCGAAATCTCGTCGACAGGTTTCACTCCTAAAGAAGAGAGAATTGTAGGAAACGCAGCCTCATGTTATTGTTTTCCACGAATGTTTTCTTCTGTATTTTGTAATCATGTTTGTCACGTACAAAGCAAGTGCGTATATTTTCTTTTTCTTTTGATAATGCGGTTTTTCGCTAGGCACGTGGCGTTCAAACCTCGTCTTCTTCAGAGCAGAGATAAGCCTCGGAGTCGTTCAGCCACCACCGGACGCCTGCCTTACTCGCGACGGCTTCAGCCCCATCGTAACATTTTGTTTTTTCTTAGTGCCGCAAAATGCTTCCCCTGCCCTATATTTCGCCAAAATAAGTTGATTTTTGTCTTCTATAATGCTTACCGAGTTTCTCATTCAAACCATGTTTATTTTCACTCAATAAGAAGTTGATTTATAAGTTTTTGTTTAATTTTCAGCTAATTAGTATGTTCTTTTTGCAATTGCTAAAGTGCAACGTGATAACAATTTGTTCCAGGAAAAAAACTTTTTTTTTCTTAATTACCCTATTTTTAGGGATATTTGAAAGCCTTGGCTGAAACACCTTGTATGTATATGGGACAACAAAGCTTCAGTATTCATAACTATATATGAGCTATTAGTTCTTGGTTTGAATTATAGTTTCGTGATCATAGCTAAAACAAAACACAAACATAATTGACGCCGATATAAAGAACTTGAGAGAGTCTCCTGGAAGCTCAGGCATGCGACGTTTGACTAAAGTACTTGCCAAATACATTTTATCTTCATACCCTGAAGGTTGCGAAACATTGGCTGCCACCACACTGATGCTTTTCAGAAAATGTTTGTTTTATTTTTTTCCGTTAGTACACCGGCATTCATATATGTGCTATTGTGAACGTTCAATGTAAAAGATTGTGTGGCGCAAAAAAAAAAAAAAAGCAATATGTAGGAGATTAACATCCCTTTATAAGTTTGGAGATTTTGAACTCTGTACAGGTGAATCACATCGAGGTAACGAGCTCTATTTACAAAGAATGTAGGGCTATAGATTAATAACAATACTAATATTCATAAACAGGGACTCTCCTCGATATCGCTTAGAAATCAGGCTGCTTTCGTAGCGCGGTGAGGAACAGTTCGTGAAGCGTCTCGATCTGCCGGGGCTGCGAGCTCATTGGACGGGACAGCTTCCTCGGCAAAGGTACCCCATCTGCAACGGAGAATAGACGTTCATTAGATGATCGCATGCATAAGCTTTGAGAAATCTCGATGTCTACTTTCCGGCAAAGCACATGAAAGAGCAAATCGCTGCAATCTATATCGAGAGAATCGCGAAGCGGAACATGCAGGGTGAGGCCGTAAGGATTCCAGCACCTTTGGCACGCCTCGGAAAATTCGAATTCCAAAACGTACGTACCTTAAACTGGGCACACGAACGTCGTTTCCCGAAAAGTTCTATAATCTTTTTTTTTTTTTCTTTCTCTTTTTGAGCTTAACTTAAAGGTAGTAGAATATTAAGAGTAAAACAAAAAAGGTAGCGAGCTCGCCTTAAAATATCAAACTAAAAAAAAAAAAACGAAAACGTTTATCAGAGTTTGGTGACGAGCAGGATGATCGCGATAAGTAATAATTTTAACGTAGTATATCAATCATGACCGCCAGGGAATCAAGCTCACAAACCAGTGAGCAGACGACGAAGAGGCTGGTATAGTAAATATAATCTGCACTGCCGCCGTTTTTGCACTATTGTTTTTGTTTTAATATTTCACCACATCTGAGTTAAGCTTTAAAAACAAAAACAAAAAAGCAACAACAACAACAAAACAGACAATAAGTTTCGCGTAACGGCGTTCGCGTACCCAGTTTCAGGTATACGCACAATTAGAATTCGAGTTCTGCAAGACGTGCCAAATGTGCTTGTCACTTCCTCACCCTGTATGCTTAGAACTGTGCGGAGCGCAAGTTCGTCTGTTTCTTGCGCGGGGGTTGCGGTGACGTCAAAACGACGCCGAGCTCTTATTGGCTGATGTAGAAAATAGCGGGTGGACGTCAAGTCATCTAGCATTGAGGCCATTATTATCCTTCCAATCACAGCCAATCAGAGCACGGCGTCGTTGTGACGTCGCCGCACCTCCTGCGCAAGAAGCCGACGGCTTGCTATCCGCGCAGACACCGATAGCTTAAGAGGCGCAGGACGTGACTTATTCTATGCATTCGCGCTTTTAGTTTCGCGATTGGTTTTTCGGCGTTCTTATCGACTAATACCGCAACCTCATTGGCTGCGGGGTGATAATGAGATGCTCGGGATTGGCAACGTCCTGTTTTTCTTAGGCTGTTAATGACTATTAGAAGAAAAAATAACCTGTCTGCTTTGTGAGACCAAGCATATGGTGTTTCACCACGCTCATGTGTCATAGCGCAGTCTCTTTAATAGGCCTTAACTTGAGTCTTCTCGTTGTTCGCCGAGCTCCTCCTGTATACGGAGAGCAAATCGTCTGCTTCTTGAGGAGAAGTTGAGGTGACGTCAGAATGACGCCGAGCTCTGATTGGCTTTGACTGAAAGGATAGTGGGTAGACCTCTATGCTAGATGTCTTGATGTATACATATTTCTTTTTTTTTTTCAATCAGCCAATAAGAGTTCGGCGTTCTGGCATCACCGCAATCCCTGCGTAAGAAGTAGATGAACTTGCGCTCCCTGTAGATTTCTGCGATTGGCTCTGCCAGGGGCCCTAAAGAAAATAGACGCTCAAGATGTTTTCTTCTTTTTAGTTTGGCACGGTGAACGTCAGTGTGCAGCCAAATTTTTGTTCGGTCAAAAAATGCCCGGATGCGATCGTCTATTTTTTTTTTTTTTTCGCGCCAATAAAATGTGGCGTTTGTACGAAAGAAAATTTTTAAAAAAGAAGGGCAAAGCTGAATACGTGGACAAGCATTCAATGCACCTCTAGACAAATTGATCACAATAGTTTGGTTCACTTTCTTCTGTTCTTTTCTTGTTTTTCTTTGTTGATCTTTTTTAATTTACTAAGTTATGAAGCAATCGGGTCCACATATTGGGAAATCCGACGTTTCTACGTAGCACGCGAGAGAGCCAGTCACTGCAACATACGGAGGAGGGCGCATGGCAAATGACGTTGAAACAGTTTGATTCGACATTTTTTATAAATTTATTTATGCATTACATAAACAGCCTGGACTGCGAAAATGAGCGTGTTTCGAACGTCTTGCTTGTCGTCACAGCACATACTGGCTGTTCATGTCTAAACGTATTTTCAGCCTCGTCATTCGCCGAGCTGTAGATTGCAGCGACTGGCCATTCCCACACGCTCCAATCTTAGAAATTTTCACTCTAAAACATAAGAAACGCCAGGCGTGACCTGTGATACGTTCAAGCTTCTTGCTCTGTAGTTCTTCCTTCTTTGTTCTAGGCGGTCCATGCCTGAATCGTATTGGCTTTGAAGGTATAGTTAAAGTTTTGTAACTCACCGTGTACGCTGTGCGCTTCTAAAGCGGTCAGTGAGTACGGTCAGAGGTGCGACATGAAGCACTGTTCCTCAAAACGGCGTTCCGTCCATCACGGAGTGTCGTAAGAGAAACAGTATATACTTAATTCTGCCAAAATGTCCCTTAAAATGCACAAATAGGACGCGAATAAATAAAAAAAAAAAAAAAAAGGAATGAGGTGCGAACCGGCAGACTTGCGCCTTGCGGCTATTTCCGGTTCCGAAGACTTGATGACGGGTTCCGGATGTCCCTGGAGGTACAGGCCCTGGAAGCCGAGGAATGGGGACACCAGCCTCGCCAGCAGGGACTCCAGCTTCAGCTTGGTCTTGGTCGGTGGGTAGCTGTCGCTCACGTTCTGAAAGGCATCAAAAAGGGGGGGGAAATGAAAAAGACGGCGTGCTTTAGACGATTACCTTTTGTACCTTAATGCACCATGTCGGAGGTGCTCTCAATCTCAAACTAGTAGGTACAGAGCTGTCATAGCATTTTGCGCAGCAGTCTCTTGAAACATAAAAAGGGGAAAGAGAAGTTCCTTCCACAAAGCTCTTTCAAACACTTTGCTAGGAGACAAATGCCCCTATACTCCGCAGCGGATGCTAGAGCCATCGGAGTCAATCCAAGGCCGTGTAAGTGTCACGTGACCTTAGAGAAGGGGCACAGCGATGCGGGGAAAGCATATCACGGGCTACGTCCACAGAACAGGATTAGCTAGGATAGTTTGTAGCGTCCGCTGCGTCCGGACATAAGGTGAAACGGAGTATACTAAAGTATTTTTGGCTCTCTGCTCGCCATGGTCGCGGGTTTCGATCTTGCTTGCGTTTGCTCTGCTAACGTAGCAAAGTGGGAGACTTTGTGCGAGGAACTTGTCCTGCCATTCATACCCTGCGACATATACCTACAGTATTATAAAGTGAGACACTGTTTTAATTTGTTGTATATAACGTAGGATGCCCATGAAAACTAACTCAAGGCTCGAATTCTGCTTGATCTGAAATGAGAGCAAAATATTCGTGTAGTACATTCTGAGTTCAGTTCACATTAATCACAGCTGACGGTTACTAACGGTCTTACGGGCAGTAAAACTGCACGTTAACGGCGTTACCGATTAGCAGCTAAAGGAAATAGCGATTTTAAAATAGAATCTTAGGATAAGAATCACTAAAACACATGTTATAATGAAAATTATATGCTTTCTATCACGTGAGTTGGATTCAGGCACAATTTCGCATTTTTACAGAAAGTTTGTAGCCGTATCTCTACTTGTGAGACTTGCTGAAAATTTGTCAAAAAACAATTAAAAGTATGTAGTACATCTCTGTCTTCCTGCTCTATTCTTCCTTCCCCTCTGAAAAAATGACACAGTTCTCAAGAAAACAAGCACCCAAATAACCGAAGCTTGATGTCATCAGCAAATGACAGCCTAACTAAACATGTGGGTTTCATTATTAAAATGGTAGCAGGAACACTCATGGACTCCTCATTCAAATAATAAATATCTACTATGCATTAAAAAGCCTTTTTCTTTTTTTAGCCACGAGGTTTCTAGATTTTTGGGGGCACTTGGAGGAGTTGGCGCGGCGCAACGTTCGGTGACGTTCATATTTTAATCGGAAACGTTCAGTTTCGTACACGTCCCTGGTTCTTTGGGGGTGTTACATTAAGAAAACCTGTTCGACTCACGTAAAGAATGAGAATCATGTGTCGTATGCTCTCCAGAACAGCATCTTTGTTCAAGCTCAAGAGGTCTGCAAAAGATAGAGGTCAGCATATTAATATGGCGCATCGAGTGTTAAAAAATACGAGCGCGATCAATTTGTGTTCCAAGTACATACATATACTCCGTTCTTTGAGAAACGCGAATGTGCGTCACTAGTCACAAGTAATCCACACAAAACATCTCCGAGCCCTGTTGTACAAAAGAAAGGTATTTACAACGAAATGATGTCGATAAGAGTTTAAAGCCCGCTTGTTGATTTGCCAAAACAGAAGGGTGCTAAACAGAACGAGAAGCGTAGAATACAGGTCTCCACACACACCTCAAACAGCAGTCTTCTGCCACCATTATTGTCACTTTCCAGCAACCGCAATATCGCGTACTTTTCTTTTATATTATTATTTTTAAGCGCCGTCGTGGCAGGCGTTTTAACGCAGGGGATTGCTGTCGCTTAGAGCTGAAGAAAAGTAGGGCCTCCTATGTCCTGAGCATCACATTATCGCACTTCAGCCAATTTGATTGTGCTATTAGCCGCCAAGAACGAGGAACAATGAACCATGAATCAAAAAGCGCAAATAAAATAAGCTGCACCCTGTGTTCCTGGAGCGGTAAATATCGTCTATTTATTTATTGATTTACAAGTATTAATTTATTTATAATTACCATAAGGGCCCCGAAGGGCATCACAGAGGGGAGGATTGCAGGCATACTTCGTCACTTAATGTACGCGGGTACACGCGTATGCCCAAAAGCCGTCCAAGGTGACATTGCCTGTCTGAATGTTTGATTCGTGCGTCGTCACCGTGCACAGTAAGCTCGTTCGGATTTCCTGAAGTTGAAACGGCCAGTTTGAAATTTTACATGGTCAGACCGGTATTTGGCCAGGTCAAACTGGCATTAGGACTGGTCAGACTGGTCTAACAGGAAATCAAACTGGTACAACTGGTAGCCAGGCTGGTTTAACTGGTAACCATATTGACCTTGCTGGTCACCGGATTCCCTTCTAACTGGTCACCAGATTGGCCTGACTGGTCACCAGACTAGCCGAACTGGTCACCAGATTGGCCGAACTGGTCACTAGATTGGCCGAACTGCTCAGCAGATTGGCCGAACTATTGACCAGACGCCAAACTGGTCACCAGACTGGCCGAACCGGTTCAACTCATAACCAGATTGACCAAACTGGCCACCAGATTGGCCTACCTGGTCCAACTGGTTACCAGTTCAACCCCTCTTTCTCACTTCATTTATAGGCTTTCTCACTTTGATGTATTGGCTTTCCAATAATTACGACATGATCGAGCGTTTACTTTTTACTAGGAGATTCATCCCTGAGCCGTTCAAAATACTCTCAAAGGTGTGACATAATTTGCTGAAAGAAAAAAAACATGCCGGGATAATTTATTATTGCTTAGGCGGTCACCAAGAAATTCCGTGCGCTCAAAACGACCAGTATGAAAGACGAAAAAGCAGAGCTCGGAAGTAGTGATCGGGTTAAAGTGCTGTCGTACTGCCGCCAAGAACGAGGAACAATGAACCATGAATTAAAAAGCGCAAATCCAATAAGCTGCACCCTGTGTTTCTATGCCCCGTGTATGTTTATGCGCTCGATGTATGTTCAGCTGATGCATGTAGTAAACGTATTGTGCCTACATTTGTGTATAATAAAAATTTCCCAAGCACAGTGGCTGCGTGAACAAATGAAAATATTTTTGTCGAACCAGTATGACCCGTTCAACCACCATGCCCAGTCGACCAGTGTGACCAGTTCGAACCCCCTTGACCAGTTCAACCAGTATAAAACTGGTCAAACTGGAGCAATAACCAAGTTTGAAACTGGTACCAAATTGAACTGGCCTTTCCAATAGGGGAGACATAATGAACACTGATGTATTTTTGACACGCTGCGGTCCTACGCTCCAAGCAGTTCGACCTTCAGCTTCGAACAAGGGTCGCCTCTTTTCTTTTACGCGTGACGCTTCTATCACCAAAATAAAGTTTTTGCACTTGTTGGAAATGCCCAACCAGCTCTGATGTGGGATTTATAATAGTAATAGTAATAAGTATATTCACCATGTCAAAGCATGGTTAGGGCTACGAAGAAAAGCTGTTCAAGCAGATTGGCCGATCCCCCGCCTTCCCTTTCAGGCACTCAGCAGTCGCCTGCTTTTCCGCGTTCATGACGGAGCCAGAAAAATCATACTATAGTCCAGGGGTGGCCAAGCTGCGGCTCGCGAGCCGCACGCGGCTCTTCGCGTGTTAAAGTGCGGCTCGCGGCTCAACCCCTACACCCCCCCCCCCCCCCCCTTTCCCGACCACCCTCCCGGTCACACTAGCACTTCCCCAAAAAGAGAAATGGAAAGCGTTTTATACCGAAAGACAGCTAGGTAGCGTTTTGGTAGTCTTGGGCTACTGCTCGCTTCCTTACGTACAGCTGGACTGCTTTTGACTCGGATAGATTGAAAGTAGTTCGAGTTTCGTTCCTTGCTCTAAACAAAAGTCCCCCCCCCCCCGTGGCTCTTGGAAGCTTCGTGGGTTGGTTTGCGGCTCTTAGGCCGGGTCAGCCTGGCCACCCCTGCTATAGTCGCTCAATAAATGATAGTAGGTTATGCACACCACCAGAAACAAGACTGTATAGAGAGATCCGAATAAAACAAGGCCTAAATTAAACTGTAGTTCTGGCCACCAAACATGGATGGCCCGCCCCAGAGCCATATATCGAGAGAGTTTGGCCATTCATTGGGAAGTAATGGAGGCAAGCGAGGAGGCGCCATTGGCCGAAAGCGGGCTTGGCGTGTTCCAGAGCCTATTCACAAATTCGAATGTGGCCTGCCAGAAGCCGCAAATAATACCCCGGGCGGTGGTCACGAGAAACGAAATTTAAAAAAAAATGCGTCGGAGCAGCTCACGGTGACTGAAAATATGATGCACGTAATGTTTCGATTACGGTCATGCAAAATCATGATGGAAGATATATAAAAATAGACAAGATATAGAAAGCGTGCGCGACTAGCAGAACGATCGACCGAATCCGTACGCCAGGCGCCGAGGGCAGGGAATCTGCCGTCCGAGTGGTCAGACTCCGCCCGAGCAAAACAGAGTTCGAGCGGCACATTCGTTTCTTACATCATTTTGCGTGCTCATAATCAAAATATATCACGTGAACCATATTTTCGACCATGAAGAGTTACTACACCTAACTCTTACGTACTTATTAAAAGTGTTTCTCGCTGCCACCGCTAGGGATTATTTTCGTCTTCTGGTTGGCCAAAAGAGCATGTCAAGCATTCCTGAGTCTGCCCGCTCCTCCCATTGACCAAACTCTCATACGGCTCTGCCCTCCCCACTGCACCTTCTTTGTTATCGGAAACTAGAAAGCGAAATGACATGGCAGGTATATAAACGAGTTCCTAGCAAACATTCTGTACAAGTGGCTTGTGCTCGCCCAGCAGAACTGCAACTTGATTGCACCGAAAAATTCCATTATACGTAGAATACGTGCTTCGTTCGTGGACGAATGTGTGGCGTTCTGGAGGTCTTTTATGTAACGGCTGGCAAGCTGGCGCCCATCGGCTCGTGACTATCGGCTGCACTCGCACCAAGCGCTTGAGAGCCACGGGGCACGAGCTGACAAACGCCAGGTTAGGAACGTAGCGCCAGGCTCAATCGAAGGCTTCATCTAAGGTCTACATCTCATATTTAACATTTATCACCTGAGGTGCTTCGCATGTAGTACTTAACGTGTTGCCGAGCAGGCATTCATCCCTCTGAATTTAGCGAAACTAAACTCTTTTATAGTCACTTTCAGGATGAGAATGGCAAGGCGCCGGTTCCGGATACTAGTCAGCATATTAAGATTTTTTCACGGAGAATAGGGGGGGGGGGGGGGGGCAGTGTTTGACGCATACACTGTTGCCAGCTCGGAGATTTGCTTACGACGTTATCAGAACCAGCCAGGTTGGCGTATCCTCCTCTGAGGAATAATTTTCAAGAACTGCGCTGCTAGAGCACCCCGTTATTTTTGTTTTTTTTTATTCCAAAGTTGCTTTTTATTTGCAATATCTCCATCTATCGTGTCACCGCCGTTCTCAGTGTTCGCCATGGTACTTCGGCGCGTCAACGCCCCCTTCGCGCGTTTTACTTCTCCTGACGCTGAGTACGCATGCTTGGTTTACGATCACGAGCCGTCTGATCCCAAACAACGAACACGAAAGTTAACAGTTGTCTCTGCAGCTTCCGGAAGGGCGCGGCGGCGTTCCAATATTCCAATCAAGCCAGTTTTCGCCCCATGGTTTTACTCCGTGAGGAAATTTATCCCACTACGCGAAGCGCGCGCTGGAGGCATACCGTATTTACTCGAGTATAACCCGCACTATTTATGAAGAAAACCGGAGGGTTCGCTTTTCAGCGGAGCACGCGGATTGCCAATCACCGCGATCAACAGCATGATACCAGCTGTTTACAGGATAGAGATAACGCCTTCGCGCAAAGATACCATCTGTGAAGGTTGCATTTATATGGAGAGTCATGTCCTTGACCTGGTTATTCGCTATATTATTTATGCGGAACGCGATGGTTGGCTGTATATGTGCTTTGCTGGAAAGTAGACACAAGGGTCTTGTTAATGCTGCAGATTGGGCGAGTTGGTAAGGCATCATTACGAACCAGCGCAAGTAGACAGTTATTCAAAATCCAAACACACAAAAAAATACACTCACACAGCGCTGAACATTCAACTGTCTGTAGAGGCTGTTTCTGTAGTATCGTGCCTGTCGATGCCATTCAGACTGGAGAATCTTGCAAATCCTCTTACCCTGGCCGACTGATGGCGCGAAGTCTCCAAAAAGGGACCAGATTTCCGGTGGCAACATCTGTAGTCGAACGCAGTACCCGAAGGAGCCTGCTTGGCAGATGGATATGGCGATCATAGTGACCAGCTCTACTGAGGTCAACGGAAGGTGCTTAAAAGGGCCCGATGTATTAGAAATAAAACCTGTTAATACTGCAGATTGGGCGAGTTGGTAAGGCATCTTTACGAACCAGCGCAAGTAGACAGTTATTCAAAATCCAAACACACATTTGGATTTTGAATAACTGTCTACTTGCGCTGGTTCGTAATGATGCCTTACCAACTCGCCCAATCTGCAGTATTAACATTTTTTATGTCTCATACATCGGGCCCTTTTAAGCACCTTCTGTTGACCCCAGGAGAGCTGGTCACTATGATCGCCATATCCACCTGCCAAGCACGCTCCTTCGGGTACTGGGTTCGACTACAGATGTTGCCACCGGAAATCTGGTCCCTCTTTGGAGGCTTCGCGCCACCAGTCGGCCACGGTAAGAGGATTTGCAAGATTCTCCAGTCTGAATGGCATCGACAGGCACGACACTACAGAAACAGCCTCTACATACAGTTAAATGTTCAGCGCTGTGTGAGTGTATTTTTTTGTGTGTTTGGATTTTGAATAACTGTCTACTTGCGCTGGTTCGTAATGTCAAGGGTCTTGTTCATAAATAGTGCGGTTTGCACCCAAGTAAATACGGTATATCGTAAGTTTAACCTCCTCGCTGTTCTCATCCTGTCAGTGACTACACGCTTCTAGCCCTTTTTAATATTGTGAAGTAAGGAACTCCTCTACATGCTCAGGACATTTTCCACGCTCCAGTAGACAAAGATGGTGGCGATCAGAGGGCGATTATTAGAATACTGTATTAAAAAATAAGCTGCCCAGAAGCTTACCTTCGAGATCCAACTTCGTGACCACGACGTCTCGGAAGGTTACCAGGAAGGTCTGTCTGACGCTTTCCGAGCCCTTGCCCTGCGGTGGCGTGAAAGCACGACCGCGTACCCAGACGGTGAGCGAGGTGGGGTTCACGTTTTTTGCATCGAGACAACGGACAAGGAACGCAAGAGGTCAAAGGGGAGTCCCTGCCTTGACGACGTACAAGATCAAGTCGAGCGTGGGCAGCACGTGTGTGAAGAGGTTGTCCCATTCGTCGGCCAGGACACCCAAGAGCTGGTCTCCTGCAAGACACGTGAGGATATGAATAGGATGGCTCTACGAGCTAACAGTTTCCCCGAGTCAAACGCTGCCCATCCGGTCGGGTTTGTACACTATGCGCGCTGCGTTAGCGCGAACAGGACTAGGATGTTTTTTGTTTTGTTTTTTTCTTGTTTTTTTTTGCGTTTTTCGCTCGGAGGTGTTGTCTACAAAACGCCATAGTGTACCGGACCAAACTATTCTGTCGGAAGAGCAATTTAGGTAATAGATCTTGAGTTGTGAGAAAGAACAAACGAAAAAAACTGACCACCGGTTGTTTGGGCTAACTTTCTCTCGCTCTTCACCCTAAAGGTTGGACTACACATATCCGTTTGAGTCGAAACGACTGCATTACAGCCGCTCGTAACCTCTTATGAGGAGAGAACACATTGAAGCCATCTGTTGAAGACCTCTGGAACACGTCCGGTGTGCGTAGCCTATGTTACGCATAAGGGCAATGTTTTCAACAAACGTTTATCTATCCATGCATTCCGCCATATTAAGCACCATTCTTCCACCGCGTGCTTGAAATGATGCTGAACATATTACTAGAGATCATTTCTCATAGAAGGTGCTCAGGTTTTATATCGAAAACAGTGAGAACCCTTCAGTCTATTTACACGCAGATTGAAAGTGTTCCAGGCCGTCCAATAATAATAATTGGGTTGTGTGTGTGTTTATACAGCCTAGAACTTGGTCTGCCTCGCAGGGGCGACGAGTCTCCCAGCTGTAGATGAGAAATTTAGCCAGTGCGGCACAACCGCTAGCCTGGGGTCTTTAACGTGCATCACGCAGTAGTGATACACGACCGCACGCTGGTACGATGCTCATCCAGATCGAAACTGGCAGGGGTGGGGCTCGAACCCAGGATCCCTGGGTTCTGCAGCGCGAGCTTTCGCTCCACGTGCTCTGAGCTGGTGTGCGCTAGACCACTCGGCCACCGATCGCCCCCCAGGCCGTCCATGATAGGTTCCGCCAGCGTACCAGTAAGCGGTTGCAACCGGCTGAAATGCAGCCAGTTAAACTGAAACGGTTTTGTGAACCAACCTTAACGTGTTACAAAATGACGCGCTACGCGACTGTCGAGATTCACATGCGTCATGCACAATCTGCTACTCATTATTTACTTCTTTTAGCGATCAAATATTACGTTTTCCAGACGCATCTGCTGCCGCTTACGCGATTATAACTCACAAAGTGCCCGTCATGCTGTAAGTTTCCTCTGAGCCCTCGTGATAAGCTTTTCCCGATGGAAGCGAAACTATTCTGCAAATGCGGTAAAAAACTTCATTTTCCTCATCATCATCATCACTATCATATTCTCTTTATTTCTGTGTTAATAAACAACAATTATCTGCAATATGGCACAACGCGATATGATGTTTAGAAACATCAGAATACAGCAGAAGAGTGTCTTACCTACCAGCATAAAAATACGTGCACACGTGTATCGGATCCTTCCCACATATTAGAATGGACAGCCTTGAACTCGACAGCTATTCTCTGATAACGAAGTGACGAACGACTTCATCACTTTTCCCTTGCGGATTGGAACGAGTAACCTACTTTAATTAGTTTCGACCGAGCAACAAGTTAACGATATTTAGACCTTATTTTTATATTTTTCCGCATAACGACTGCCACCTGCACGTCAGTGCCCGTGATTTTATATTTTTCCGCATAACGTCTGCCACTTGCACGTCAGTGCCCGTGCTAGACGTTGTTATTGTTTTGCTTTTTTTCTGTTGCACATCTTTGCATTAATTGGCTATACAAATGCGAACACCAATATTATCCGACGAATTTATTGATATCACGCGAAATCCGAGTGGCGCAGTTCTCGTATTCAATCCGTAAGCTGAATTTGCCTGACGTGCCTAAGCACTGCAGATAGACCACGGGGGAAAAAAAAGCAAAGAAATGCGAAGGAAAAACAAACAAAAAAACGGTGCTTTACACTATCTTTTAGGCTTGACTGCGACAAACAAGTCACTGAGGCCCTCGTGCCCCAAGTAGCACACTTTCTCGGCCCAGGCTTGAGCCAGACTGGCGCGAGCTAGAGCTAGATTGGCTTAAGCCTGGCTCAAGCTCGAACTAAAATGGCCCAAGCATGTGCGGGGGAAGTGTGGTGCTAGGGTCGCTAGCATTTTGGTTTACAAAGCAATATGCAGCTAGTAAAATTAAAACCCAATACCGTTTTGAGGCTTTTTTAGGTCGTCCTTTCCAAGCGTTGACATAAGAAACAATAGACAGTAACAAAACAAAAATAAAAGTTCACCCACTTGGCTGTTGACAGAGCTTGTGCCTGAGCGCTGTGAAGCAGACCTCCAACTCCCTCTGCAATCACAGTGACAAAAATAAGTATTAAACAGTTAGTTATCAATCGCATAAAATAAGAACTTTTCTGTTTTTACTTTTACGGTGCAAGCTAATGAAAGAACACGCTTACCTTATATGAGTCATAGATGAATGGTCCAGCCTTGGATCCGCTTAGGGCTCTTTAAAACGATACAAATAGGTTTAGAAATTAAAACCATACAAGGAAGTTCAACCAAGTCATGGATGTAATGGAAGCTGGTGAATATACCCTGATTAACGTGATCATGGGACCCCCTGAAAGCCACAATGGGCCTGCCGTCGTTTCACTAAAAACATTTAGCATCATTGAGGGCTCCGAAGGGCGGTCTCCCACTGAGTAACGCCACTGACTCAAGGAGAGTCTCTTAAATGCCACACAGAATAACGAACTTTCAGCCACCTTTTACTTCAAAACCATGGTTGCCAGTTAGCAGCATCTTGATCTAAAATCGCAAGAAATGCTTTTCCGTCCTCCAGAAATGTCAGTTCAGTTTGTGACCGCGTGAAACGGCATCACCTGAGCTTCCTGCAGCGCCATACCTGAAACTTTAAAAAGTCTTATTTTCAAGTCGAAACTACACCGACAACTGCTCTGCACAAAACACAAACAAATGACGACAAGAAACTATGGGAACGGAGCGCCGATAATTCCAGCTTATTTAGTGAGTATTTTGTGTTCAGCCTTTAAAACGTTTGTCCATAATCTAGTCCGAAAAATTGGGTATTTAGGGTAAAAGAATTAAGGCACTTGAATCGCGCGAGGACTTCCAACTTTCTCAGCAGTTCCTGCGTGTGACTGTTGTCGAATACATTATTGATACCAAGGAAGCGCCCAACCCAATTTTACTGAAAACTGGGTTAATCTAGACATAGGCGCTTGTCCGGTCAAATCGGGCGGTTAACGTATAATTTGCAGAATTTCCAAGTTTCGGAAATGTTAATAGTGGGCGCTCGAACGAAGTGGGCACTTCTACGGTAATTTACGTTAAATAAGGCTATCATTGGTATTCGTGTAATTTATTTATAAATGCGAAGGGCGACCGAGATGTCATGCTCAAATCGACATCCGGTGCCAAAAAGGCACCCCCATTTGCAACGAACTACAAACCGTATGCCCAACGAGCATAACACCGATCGTAATCGCTTGAACGGCTTAAATTAAAACCAATGATCGGTCTCTCATGTGCACCGCAGGGCAGTATATACATGCTTCTGAAAGTTGAGGCACTCGGCACTCGAATAAGCGTTGTCTGTAAGCGTACCGTATTCTCTCGTGGAGGGCGGCCAGCTCACCAGGCTGCAGGGCGACACGTCTGGTCTTGAACAGACTCCGAATGGTCTGCTGCAACCTGCCAATAGAGGCATCAGCCTTTGAGCGGAAAAGCTTCGACGTTCATCGAAGGCAGTGACTATTTCGACGTCCATTTTCTAAATACCTTTAAGTGTTATTTTTACGTCCGTGACGCCATTTCCTCAAGTCGTAAAAATGTTTTTAATTATTTATGACGTCACCCAGTCCCCGTATATATATATATTTCTTTTTACTATTATTTTGACATTTCCAGCTTGGTTCATTAAAATTTTGGATAAAAATTATAAAAAATGTCGGCCAAAAAAAAAAAAAGAATCACCTTGTTCGCAGTTGGCGTCGCGATTATACACGCACTTTCCGACAACAAATCCCGTGCTGTCGACTGCAGTTTTCTTTTTTTTTATGCCTTTTAATTAACGGGGAAAGCAAGAAGACTTCTAAAAGCACAATTTAACTATCAGGCCGCACGCAACGAGCACTTGGTAGCGCTAAACAGTATACTATAGGCGGCACACTTGCAATTCATTATTGATTTCACTTTATTTATATTGAGAATCTCATGTCATAAAACTTGCAGTCTATATGACAGGATATAGAATATATATGATGTCGGAAAATGCGTCTATATCCTACAATCGCGATGCAGACGGCAATATCATATTTCTTTGCTCAGTGCACCGGAACCTTTGCTGTTCGTTTGCACCGGTCAAGAAACATCCAAGGAGGCAATGTTTGCACCTTTCGTAACCAACCCAGACTCGTTATACGCGTTATGCACGGACCAAAAAGATAATCTATACACAACAACGTACTCACGAGACCATTAAAAAGAGAACGGGTTCCCTCAAGGCAAAGCTTAGGCAGTCTTACCGCCGAATCCAGAAACTTCACTCAAACTACACTCAAACTGAAGGGCCCCTCCGCTTCCTCGAGGAAGGCGCGAGGGGCCCTTCAGTTTGAGTGTAGTTTGAGTGAGGTTTCTGAATTCGGCGGTTAGAATAGCGCGCGGAAAAGATTTATATATACGCAAAGAATAGCGTCGTCGCCACTGCGCATATGTGCTGAAGCTAACAGCGTTTTGCGCTTTTGCGGCCGCTGTTTTAGCGTACGCTATTTATTTATTTTAGAATGGCGTGTGTACACAAATTATTTTTTATTTTTTTGTTCGTCCAAGGAGGATTCGCGTTGGGCAACAAGTTGGCTGACACAAAGCCGAACCAACGCCGCCTGAGATCGGGCACGAGTGCTGCGTCAGTGTTCGGCCGGGGCTCGTGTTCAATCAGCGCGTCGAAGGTCGTACCCGGGCCCAAAAGCCGAGTTAGCGCGACCCGGCTGTGAATGATGGCGTTTCATGGAGGGAGAGGAGGCCATGCGGAGGCTTCGATTATTCTAGGTGGGGTTGGCCGAACACAGTTAGAATATGGCGACTTCCAGGACCGTGACTGCGCGTCCCCTTGGCTCCGTCGTGACCGCGACAGCAGCGGCATCCTTGCGACTGCAATTTTCAATGCAGTACGACAGTGGTATCAGCCATGGATGTGTCGGGTACTCCTTGCGAACCGCTGGCAGTGGTGGGGAACCCTTTCCCGCGGGGGGGGGGGGGGGGGGGGGGGGGACGTTAGTAAGCTAAAACATCTGGAGCATGAAACAGGTGCCTTTTATTGCTACGTAGCAGAAAAACATAAAACAAAGGTGCCACATCACTTCATTTTGGTCAGCTCATCAAAACGTGCCAAATAAAAAAAATAAAAAAATTGTTGAGGGTCTCGCGGACCCCCATTTGAGAACCACTGCAGTACGACATTGCGCTCTTACGGGAGGTGAACGTCACAAATGCTTCGGAATACCCAGGAAGGTGGGTGACGATCGCAGGCAAGTTGTTGCTTGCCACGCGCGAACGCTTCTCGGCGAAGGTCAGTATACACTCTAAAACAAGGAAAAAGAAAAAATCTAGCCGTAAAAGAGCTTTTAGGGGTTCTTCGGCTTTTCCGAGATTTTTTCCCTAAAACGTTCTTCTAAGCACCACCGCGAGGGGTTCTTCGTAAAAGCCCTATAAGGGGTTGTTTTAAGCTCCTGTTGTGACGCAAAAAAGTTCTTCATCACCTAGTTGCGATTCTATATTGTACCAGGGGGCGATAGTGCTTGAGGTGAAACCCAGAGCCGTGTATAGGGAGTGTTTGGTCAATGGGAGGCCCGGGCAGAGCCAAGGCGTGCACCAGACGCTGAAAGTGGGCTTGATATGCTCTCTTGGCCAACCAGAAGCTTAGAAGGATCCCCTAGCGGTGGTAGCGAGAAACTGTTTTAATCGTTGGTATATATGTTGGTATATGGTTTTCATAAGCGCTTAAGAGTGAAATGTAGGAGTAGTAACCCTTCATGGTTGAAAATAGGGTGCACGTGATGTTTCCATCGTGATCATGCAGAAAGATGTAAGAAACGATTGTGCCGCTCGAACTCGGTTTTGCTCGGACAGAGTGTGACCGCTCGGACGGCAGATTCCCGGTTCTCGGCGCTTGGCGTACGGATTATGTACTCTTTGACCAAGATTTTGGATGACCGTGATTGTAACATCACGTGCACCATATTTTCAGTCACCGAGACTTAATCCGACGCACTTATTAGGTTTGCTTCTAACGACCAGCGCGAGGGTATTATTTCCGGCTTCTGGTTGGCCACATTCGAATTTGTGAAGATGCCGTGGAATAGACCCTTTCTTCAAGGGCTCCGCCATCTTCAATTGTCGTCACTTCCACTATGGGCGAAAACATTGTTTTGCCGTCGCCACGACAGCAGAAGAAACTTACAACATAAGCGTAACCGTCACACATTATCGTTTTGCCTCCCCCTTATTTTTTTACGAGTTACAAGTTGAAAAAATTTGTAATTTTTCGTCGCCCATACCGGATCCGCCTATGGGGTGGCTGGGGACGAGAGTACACAGAAAAGGTCCATAGGCCCAGCCCACTTTTGGGTCAATGGCACCACCTCATTTGCCTCCTATACGCCTCGCAAGTGGGCTCATTTTCGTCTTCTGCGCATGAGAAAGGAAGTAGTGGTGACGTCAGAACGCCGAGCCCTGATTGGCTGATCGCGACCCCCTATCGCAGCGTCGTCTGCTCCTTTGCAACGTCGTCTGCGTCTGTCTTACCTTTCCTGCGACTTCCGGAAATTGAGCGAGCTCGACTTCGCCTTTCAGAGAGGGCAGACGAAATAACTCGAACGGTACGTTGTTTTTCTCTAACAACTAGCAGACACGCATAAAGGGGGGAAGTCAAAGGACTCACGGGCGAGGTGTCCCGAGGCGCCGAGGTTTGTTTGCTAAGAACCGAGAGTTAGCGTGTTAGTGTCCGCAAGTTCCCTCCCAAATACTTGTTCCCTCCTTTCGTGTGCGGCGAAACCCCTCACTCTTTAACGGCGTCGGCGGGTTGGCGCAGTTAACGTCGTCTGCTTTACGTCTGCTAGTCAAAGCGATGGCTGCTTTACCTTTCCTGCGTCTGTCGGAGATTCACCGCTTTTTCACCGGCGAGAGTCACCGTTGCCTCGGGAAACAAGGCGATAACAAGAGGAAGAAATTGACCTCTTAATCTAAAATTGAGGTCAGCGATCAAAGTATAATACGGGAAGGGTTCACAAGCGTCGCGCGGGCATATTCCATTCAGCACGCCAGCCGGCCGTGGGCAGACGGTCGCCGAGTTGCGGAGTGCCTGCTAGGCCTAACTGCGGAGCTCGCTTGGTCGCGTTCGGTGGAATCGTGGCCACTGGAGCTTTTCCCGGGCGCTTGTGGATCCAGCGTTCTTGTTCGTCGCGGTCTGTTTCAAGTGCTTTTTACTTTTTTCCTGCTGCTTGAAGTCGGGACGCGTGAGAAGCGCACGTAGAAAAATAAACGTCCGTGGGTCGTCGCGACCACGAAGCTGTCGGCCATGCTGATTTGATCGTAAGAAGTGCGTAAGACAGCTTCGGAACTGTCGTAGGATTTCGTCGTTACCTGCGCAAAACTTACGAAAATTTCGTTTCGTGAATGAATTTGTTCTCCAGTTTTGTCTTACGCATATTTTTGGCATAAGATCGTTTTGTGAACCTGACCTCTGGCCTCTGCACTTTCGAAAGTCGCAGGAAAGGTAAGACCGACGCAGACGACGTTGAGAGCAGACGACGTTGCAGAGGAGCAGACGACGCTCAGAGAGGGGGTCGCGATCAGCCAATCAGGGCTCGGCGTTCTGACGTCACCGCTACCCCCTGCGCAAGAAGCAGACGAACTTGCCCTCCGCATAATTCCCAACGAATGGCCAAGCTCTCTGCATTTATGGCTCTGGCGAAACCGTTCTTTACTAGATGAAAAAGTTCTTAAGGCGTCAAAAAAACTTTAAAAAAATTGTTTTTTTAGTGTGTACGATTTTTTTTTTTTTTTTTTAAGCGGCGTGAGTGGGCACTATTGGTCGAGAGCTCGCATCTCATTTTCACATTCAAACAAATTTAAAATGCTACTCTGAATCAAAAGCCTTAGTTGATCTACTCAAGTTACAGCAGTCAGTGTGAAATAAAACTTGGTATTCGAATAGCATTGGAAGCGCGAAATGCTTGGCTTTTGTGTCGTCGTAAAGAAACACTATTCTAAAAGTTTTTAAATTGCATAACGTGCGCTAACGCAAGTGCCAAGTTTAGCGTCAACGTGCGCAAAATTGAGTACGTTATTCTAAAAATCTATTTTGAAGACATTCGAAAACGAGCTCGCACGGTATGAAGGCACAAAAATCGTTCAGAACTCTGTGTTGCGTGCTTTACGCACTTACATTTTTTTACGTGCAGGGAAGAGAGGGATCAAGCTCGCCTTTGTTGTGGATTCAAAATTTTAAGTAAGGCGCGTGCTGAAATGACGTGCGAGAGCTCAGAACATCGCCGCCGGGCGTGTCACGTCCCAAAGTATCAGCTGTGGATCCAGTCGAGCGCACACACACTGAATAAGACATTTCCAGTGTCAAGTTGGACCGAAACTTGTAGGCATGCGGGAACTCGAATAGACTACTTCCATAAAGCCCT